TCACATTCACGATTAAGTACTTCCCCAATTTGCTCATTGTCACTCTTCTGTTTTGAATAAAAGTCCTGAATCTAAAATCTTTTACCCTAAATGGTTGAGTAGGAACACTAAAAATTACTGCAAGTAAAAATGTAAAGATGCAAATCACAGAAACCTTAAGTTGTACTTATTATTTTTCCATCCCTATAAAAAGTAACACACATCCCAAGCAATGATAGAAAGTAAATAATTCCTCTATACAGGTGTGTATGTTTCAGTAACAGAATTATTCATGGAACTGCCTGCAATGAAATAGAAGTATCATACAGGAATCCAAAAAAAACTGAGGAGAAACACTTACAAATGTATTTCTATTTCCTTTTTCTCTAGAGATAGTGCCCCTCTTCCAACCCAGCACCTACTGTATATAACAGCACCATGGCTCAGCACAAGTAGCTCAGGATCTGTTGTCAAAATATTGCGTATTGCACATACCTGTTTATTATATATTTCATCCAGCAGAATGATCTATATTTTGTGATTCATGTAGGGGAAAATCATGAAGTGATAAACTAATCAGTTGAACAAAACAGTATAATGAGAGCATGAAAAATATTTCAAAGTTGGTTTAAACAAAATATCATCCTGTATCTGTTTTGGGCTACAACACCCATTTCTTCCTTTCCCTGTGAATTGCCTTGGCACGTTTCCACAAATGAAACTGAGGGGTTAGCTGAATTAATTTTCAGCTATCCAAACTCGTGCTATTAGATGGAGATGTGAGCAAGACATATCAACCAGAAAAAGTCCCAAATTAACACTTCCCAATACAAGGTGATTGATCTCATAATGGAATGTATTAATTGTCCTGGTGGGAACAGAGGGCACTTGAGAGCTCAAGATAGAACTTTTACTTCTGTTTACAGTCTAACGATTAGTTTTGTGCTATTTAGTAGGTAATATAAGAGGGTCAGAAACAAGATCATACCAACCGCAAAATGGCAAATCAGATGTACACCTGAACCAAATATCTGTATTTTCTAGCAATTTGGTTAAAAATTTGCATTTTAGACTAAATCTGTTAGAAACATTACGGTCTGGATTTTGCAGTCAATAGGAAAGGAAGATGCTTGCCATTAAAACAAGCCAAGAGGCATAGATAGGATAATGCTCTCAAGATTATGGGCTCACATCTTATCACAGAAGTTGGTGAAACTTGAATTCAATAAAAAAATCTGGATTTAAAAGCTAGCTGAACGGTAACCATGAAACCACCGTCAACTGTTGTAAAAACCTAGTTGTTCCATTAACATTCTTCAGGAGGGGAAATCTGTCAACCTTACCTAGTCTGGACAAGATTCAAAGCCCACAACAACATGGTTGACTCTTAACTGGCTATAAGTGAGCCACTTAGTTTATGAGACAATTAAGGACAGGCAAGCCAACCCTGCCCATATCCAATAGACATTCCTTTTGAAAAGGCTCAAGTGTAGCACCCTTTACAGGGATATGTGCCATGTGGGAGCAGGACAAGAAACAACAATCAGATCAAAGCAACTTTGTTGATTTATGCAAGTTTAAACCAAGTACAAATTACAAATTAAAACAATGCAAAATCATGCACAGAAAGTGGAGAGGGAAATATTATTTATACTTTATTCCTTTTTTTTAAAAAAAAGAATCTGGAACACTTAAGCTCTGAAGAAATGAGACTCTGAACTTGTGAAATTAAGTTTCCAGTACCAGTGAGGACATTTGCCAGCAATTACAACTTAAGAGTTTTTAAATATTCACTTTCACCTGAATACACCAGCCTTACAATTTTTTTTAATCATGTTCAATTGGCAACTAGCAACTTCATCCCTTTGTGGTTTTCAATGTGGAGTCCACCAGATTGTAATGTGGATTGCAACTTTAGGATTTCTGCATTTAATTGTGCACTTAACAGGTTGCGATGTTGTTTATACCATTAGAGACAAGAATGCTATTAGTTTCATCATTATTGGCAATACAAAATTTGTGTTACTCTACCGTAAACAAGCTTCAAAATAATTTCTAAAAGAACAACTGCTATTCAATTTTTAATGTATCTGAAAAGCAAAGAACTTTTCCAAGCTTCTTTTTGGCCCTGGTCAAATTATCAATACAGTCCGACTCAAAGTCTAAGCCTGTATTCAACTATCAGGCATTTATTCATGTCAAAATTTATTCATTACTCGATAGATGTGTACAAAATGATCAGAGGTATAGATAGAGTGGACAGCCAGAGATTTTTTCCTAGGGTGGAGGTAGCTATTACGAGGGGCATAGTTTTAAAGTGAGTGGAGGTAGATATAGGGGAGACGTCAGAGGTAGGTTCTTTACTCAGAGAGTGGTCAGGGCGTGGAATGCATTGCCAGAGAGGGTAGTGGACTCTGCCTCATTAGGGGCATTTAAGCGCTATTAGATAGGCATACGGATGATAGTATAAGGTAGGGGTGGAGGTGAGATAGACCTTAGGATTAGGGTAAAAGTTCAGCACAACATCGTGGGCCAAACGGCCTGTACTGTGCTGTTCTGTTCTACGTTCTATGTTCAAACTACTGCTGCAAATTTGAGATAACAAGGTGTAGAGCTGGATGAACACAGCAAGGGTCTAGACCCGAAATGTCAGCTCTCCTGCTCATTTGATGCTGCTTGGCCTGCTGTGTTCATCCAGCTCTACATCTTGTTATCTCAGATTCTCCAGTATCGGCAGTTCCTACTATCTCTGCTGCAAATTTGAGCTCATTTTATACATTGAGTCATTTAATGTTGCTGGGAGAATTTATTTCCTCGAAATTATTAATGAAGATAGAGACTATTGAAACGTTATCAATGAATTGCACAGGTTCATCATTTTAATATTTGACAGAAGCTTGTCATCTGTTCACAATACAGAAAGACCAGTACTAATGTTTCTTTGAGCACTTTCATGAATTAAAGAGAAACAGATGGCTAGTTAATTATTAGGCACCAACTGTTCAAAAATGTTCCTTGCATGAATAATCAATTACCCCTCAAAGAAACAATTATTCAGCAGTGTATTTACATCATTACCCAACCTGTACCTTTAAAAACAGAACCACCAATTTCACCCAAACCAACTTCTGATTTTTGTTCACTTTCAGGCTCCAAGAAAATTCCGTACTTCCTCCTTAAGTGAGGGAATTCTTCATAACATACCCAATCATATTAAATCAAGCAGTAAGGATATTTTGTTAGTGTTGGAGTGCAGGGAAGATTCTCTCTCAATCATCTCATTGGCTATTTTAAGACAGAAACTGCCAGAGTGCCACGTGACCATTAATAACGTTACGTATTGATCTTTGACTTGGAAGAAGAAACAATAATTAAACATTTTTGCTTTGTCTTTAAGGAATACAATGTTCCAAGTGGCTTTACACAATTACATCAAATCTAATGCATGGATAATGAACTTTTATTAAGTATCAACATTCAGCTATAAATCTATAAGCAAGCTCCAGTGGGTTGTTTAAGGGCTGTTTGGAAGTTGATCATTGATTAACAGCTTAATTAAATGGAAATGCAGCAGCTTTCCAAAATTTATTTATCCACTAATAATTAGCTGACAAAAATCCTAAAAAGTAGTCAAATAGACAAATGTACCTTCATTGTTAGCAAGTTAAGGGCTGTAAGATTTTAAGATGCAGGTTATACTCTGCAGAGTTTTTTAAAAAAAATAAACTATTCCATATATAAAAGATTTTGTATTTTCAGGAAGCAATTTATAGTGCACAGGAACAGATTAAGAACAAGCAATCAATTAACCCAATTATGAGTACTTGATATAAACACATTGTTCCTATCTCTTGGATTTATTGTTCACACATACAATCTACCTATATATACACAGAAAGAGAGCCCAAGTTAATCTAGAAGAAAAATAAAGGGATTGAGTTCATCAGTCTCCTGAATCAAAGGCTTAAATCCAGCTCATTCATCCATCAAGAGTGCATAAATCAGTGCTTCCCAAATTTTAACGAATTTACAAATTTTAACAAATTGTCACTTCATTTCTTTTTGGTGAATGGCAGGGGGTGCCTTTCAGACGAGGAGAAGCAAGGGGTCAACCCAAAATTTCAGCTCATGACCTCACTTTGGGGGGTCCTGGTATAAACTGTTATAACGCATTTGCCAAAGACGTTCATTTGGCCTTTGCTGCAAAAAAATGTCCCACTAAAAATTACAGTAATCACGTCATGTTCAAGAAAAGTGTGAAAGGTTGATGCGATTTTTGACTTGCTCGCCGAGATCGCAAGTTTGTTTGTAAACGTGCCGTCACCATACCAGGTAACATCAGTGCGCCTCCAGTGTAGCGTTGGTGTTCTGTTCCGCTTGCTATTTACGTGTCTCAGTTTGCTGGGGTTGGTGGCATCACTTCCAGATTGGTTTCTTACTGTTGGTATATGGGGTCCAGCACTACATGTTTGTTAATGGAATGAATGGTTGGTTCACATCGAGACAGGAATTAGTTTTTTAAACCTGGCTTCCAAAATTAGCTCACTCCTTTAAAATGAACAAATTAGCACCAGATTACCTGCTTTAATTCTTGGGTGGCAACAGTTGGACAGCAATGAGCCTTACAACATATAAGTTGGTGGGGCCTGCATGTTCATAAAGACTGGAACATAATTCCAACTTCAATTGCTGTCAAGGAGCCTTTGCTGGAAGTATGTGGAATTGCTGGATGACAACAAGATTGGTATCAGAAGTGATGAGCCCACTGGTCTCAAGCCAATAATGTCACCCTGCTGAGTTACTAAAAGCAAGACACATACACAGAAGCACAACCCAACAAGAGTTGAGAACGGTCAGACATGGGAGCTAGGAGGAAAAGCAAATTGCTGAGGAAAAGCAAATAACAGTTGTATATCGCGACAAATCAGATATCTTCAGAGAGTTACGTATACAGATCGCTGACCTGAAAAAGGGGTGAAAATACAATAAGGAACTTCTCTTTAAGAACCCAACTCAGGAAATTCATAAATTCAATATTTATTTGTTTAGATAGAAAAGCATGCGGTAAAGTTGGACGGTTCAAACTGACAAATACATATTCAAATGTGTAATAGGAAAGGATCTAAGAATACAAAAAATATTTCCATTTATAATCAGTGACAGCCAATTTCTATTTTCTTTAAGATCAGGCTCACTTCCACAATCAGGCTAAGGAGGTGAAAGTCTTCTAACAGTTTGTAAGGGTCATATATGACATGAGATTAGACACTTCAAATGACTTTTCCTGTGGACTTGGATCAGAGAACAAGACCAACCTTGGGAACTCATAATAAAATGGCTAAAGGTTCCGAATTGTATCAAAAAAAAACTCAGATGATTGCATTTAGTAAGTAAGTAGTAGAATTTTATTTCAATTTAAAATCACATTAATTGAAGAGTAAAAGAAAACTTAATAGTTGCCATCTATTTATAATTGATGCTGGCAATGTATTATTTAGGTAAACAAATCAAAGTTAAAATGAAAATTCATAATTTATCATGTTTTGGTGAAGTAATTGGTAAAGAAGTTCAAACCAAAGGCTAACTTTCTTATCATTTCCTGTATAATAGAGTAAACCTACATAGAGTGTAACAGTCTCAAAACTGCTTAGTCATCTTGCTTGCAATTCAGTTTCAAAATTTTTTCATCATCTAATTCCACACAGTTAGATCAGGGAATTCTGGGTGCAAAATTACACAAGCTGTTCGCTAAGAAACTAAGCAGCCGCTCTGGGACCATGATTTATGACTATAGAATTATCCTGTCATTTTTTTGTTGGACAACTGAAGTTGCTTGAACACTCACTGACATTCCCATGCTTATTTTCTCAAGACGCATTTTGGTGTTGGTCAAGTTTAAATATTCTCCTCTTCACGCAGGAACTGAAATACCGAAGAGAAGTCTTTCTGAGCGTATCCCCTTGCACACATCATCCTGTAAATCTGATGAGACAGTGTTCCTAACAAAGCAGGGGTTTTAGTGTTCGTTGCTATGTTTTGTACTAGTCCCAGATCCTAAATGGAAGAAATAGAAAGACATTTAGAGAATTATTTATTAAAGCTCACCCTTGAGTTCAACGCTGTGATCCCATTCAGACCACAAATAACTGCATGATCATTATAATAAACCACAAGTACTTTTCCATGCATTTTTTAAAGCAAAGTGTCTGAAGAAGGGTCTGACCCGAAACGTCAGCTTTCCTGCTCCTCTGATGCTGCTTGGCCTGCTGTGTTCATCCAGCTCTACACCTTGTTATCTCAATATTTCAGAAACTATTTGCCAAACTACTGAAAAGTTGGCTAAAATTTTCTGTTTGGTCATTATGAAATGCACATTTATAAGAAGTCAACCTACATGGCAAGTAGCACAGGCTCAACTCTTTCCCAAATCCAGAGACATGACCAGTTTTCATCTCTTGCCGTCTTTTCATCATGGCAAGAGCTAGCCACTTAATTGTTCAATTTTAATTTGTGGTAAAATTTCACATTCCCGATTCCTTTCTCTTTTTCTCCTGCACCACCACCCCCCACATTGTTTCGTTCAGTCCAATTTAGTGACTCATTTATCTTCCAAACACCCAAAATCAAAAATTTAACATGCTTTCGCTCTAGAGAAGCCAATGTTTCTGCTGAAAATCTGATGTGCCTAGTTTTTGTTTTATTTAGTTTTCAGGCTTTAGTTCTCCAAAGGAAATAAATACTCAACACAAATGACTTTCCAATGTATTGTCCACTTAGCTCACAAAAGTGAGGAACTGGATTTGCTATCCCCATGTAACGTGAGAAAAACAGCATGAGGTTCAGGAAATTTCCCCAGACCATTAAAAATGGACAGAAAGGCAAGTCAGTGAAACTGCCCTTCCCATCAGGTTACATGGCTCAATATAGAGCAAAAATCGAGAAATTAGTAAAATGAGAAGAATATTCATCCAGAGGAACAAGAGTAGGCCATTCAATGAAGTCATGGCTGATCTGTGGCCGAACTCCACATACCTGCCTTTGGCCCATATCCCTTAATCTCTTTGCGGAACAAAAGTTTTAAATCTGAGATAGATAACTGAACAACTGATCTTGCATCCTCTGCCATTTGTGGAAGAGAGCCAAACATCTATCACCCTTTATGTTAGGGAAGGGCTTCTACACAATCAGAAAGTCTGAGAGTTAGGGCCAAACCAATGTCCCCTAGTTCGAGAAGCCCCAAGCAGTGGAAATAATTTCTCCTTATCTGCCTTGTCTTTTCCTGCTAATGCCTTGAAGATTTTGATCAGATTGTCTTTTAATCTTTCAAGTGCGAGAGAAAACAGGCCTTGTGTGTATAAGCTCTCCTCATAACCTATAAAAGAGTCCAGTCATCACCCTTGTAAAACCAATAATATAGTTTCTCCAATGTATCCTTCCTAAGGTGTGGTGCCCAGATCTGCTCATAGTATTCCAAGTGGGGTCTAACCAGGGTTTTGTATAGCTGCAGCATATCCTCTGCATCCTGGTATACTCCAGTCCTCTAGATATAAAGGCCAGCTTTCCATCAGATTTGTTGATTATTTTCTGCACTTGTTCAGGACTTTTTCAAAGATCCATGCACCTAAACTCCCAAGTCTCCTTGGGTATCCACAGTACTTTGTACCTTATAGAAAGTACCTCGATCCATTCTTTTTCGATCCAAAAACTGATAACCCATGCTTAGTTACATTGAACTCTTATCACAATTTTGCCCATTCACTTAGCATAAAATTATGAATGGATATTGATAGACTATCTCCTCTGTTTGCAATGCTGCTTAACTTTGTCATCATCAAATTTGGATATATGACTTTCTATGCCATTAATAAATAATGTGAATAATTGGGACCCTAACACAAACCTTTGTAACACAGCACTGTTTAAATCCTGACAATTTGAGTACTCACCCATTATCCCTACTTTCTGTAGCCTGTCACTCAACCAGCTTCCCAGCCATGTCAGTAATTTGCCTTCACTTCTATGGGCTTCTACCTTTGTTAACAATCTCTTATGTGGGACTTTATCAAATGCCTTATTGAAGTCCATATAAACAACATCCATAGAGACATCCCCCTGTCAGCTGCCTCAGTTACCTCTTTAGTGAGGTTTGTCAGGCATGACCTACCTGTCATGAATCCATGCTGCCTCTCCCAGATTAACTGAAAATTTTCGAAGTGTTCAGTTACCTTATTCTTGACTATAGACTCCAACAAATTCCCCACCACAGAAGTTAAGCTAACTGGTCTGTAATTCCACGGCTTTCCTCTTTCGCCCTTCTAAAAGTGGAGCGTCATGTGCAATTTTCCAATCCAAAGGGGCAATTCCTGTATCTACGGAACTCTGAAAGATTACAGTTAGGGAATCTACAAAAAGTGCACCCCTACTTCCTTTAACACCTTGAACAGAAATTGCCAGGTTCTGTGGATTTGTCACTCTTTAATTCCATTAGTTTCCTCATTAACAATGTCTGAATCACATTAAATTTATTCAATCCTTATCCCCAGTCCACTATTAATTTCATCAGGACCTGTAGCAAGCTATTCTCTTTTTCTACTGTAAATACAGAGGCAAAGTAATTATTCAACAAGCCTGCTTTTCCTCATAGTCGTTGACAAAATCCTCACTTTGTCTTTAGTGGGCCAACATTGTTCCTGACCACTCATTTTCCCATTATGTAACTATAAAATTTCTTCTCATTGATTTTGATGTCCCTAGCAAGTTTCCCTTCATAATCTCTTTGAGTAGCACTTATTAGCTGCTTTGTGGCCATTTGCTTGACCCATTCAGCATGATCTGAGTTTTTTTTTCCCCCAATTTTTTAAGCCCTTTCCTTTTGTTTTATGCTGCCTTCTGTGAAGTAGAGTTTCTATCTCTCAGTGGTACAAACTTGTTTTGTATTATTAAATATTTCTTTAAGCATCCTCCAAATCATCACCACAAAGTCATACCTTTCCAATTCCAAGGTTTGATCATGCTTAAAAAAAAATTGCAAGGTATCAAATGATCTGTTTATCATCTTGCCTGGAGAACAAAAGGAAAACCAATGGGTTGAGGTGCACAATTTTTCCAGACATAAAAATTGAAGGTTTTGTTGTGTGTGGCTGGTTATTTAATCCCAATGAGGGCAGGTCTGATGTTTGACAACTGACTGTAATGCCAGTATTAAGGACCTTCAATCAGCTGGCTATGACATAACATTAGAAGATTTTAATCAGGTTTCTTGTCTTCCCTCAATAAGCTAAATAACCTGTGGCATGAATATTCTACAAAGGACAGAGAAAAACGTGATTTTTTTTTGTAAATAGTACCTTCGCCATTAACGCTGCTGCAAAGCCACCTTGATAATCATTAGCAGAAGGGACACCGTCCATCACTCCCGGTACAGGGTTGTAGGTGTCGCTTGACCAGCATCGACCCGAACTCATATTCACAATTTTTGTCAGAAGCTTCGGGTCAAGCCCTAGCCTGTCAAAAGTCACAAACGAGTAGTTTTAAGGTCAAAGTGTCAGTGCGGTTGACCAGTTATCTGCTGTTTGACCCAACATAGCCATTTGTCTCATTCTAGCAAGCATCTTCCAAAATGATACTGCATTTATTGTGGATTTATGATGCACTTTCAAGTGATTCTAACTCAGCCCAGCATATACAAATTGAACCAAGCTATTAAATACATGGTCAATAAATTTTAAAGAGACAGTACTCTCGGGATTGCACAGGCTAGATATGAATGATGTTACAGTAATATTCATGCAACATTCATTTTTTTTCTTATTCTAATCTGGATTTCTTAAATTGTTGAATCTCAATAACTAATCAGTCTTTCATTAAAATCCTGAGAGAAATATTTAATGACACATATACAAATTTCCATACATAGTGTTTTCTAACGGTATACATGGTTACCCAAATTCGAACATGTGACTTGTGTTTCCATCCATTTTTCAAAATAGGAAATGTTAGTCCACTGTGGGGGAGTAATTTTTGCCTCTTTACAATAACAGGGAAACACTGGTACACCAATGAAGTAAAAGCTGCAACTGTCAACATTTTTAAAGTTGCTCAAAATAAAAAATTCACCAATGCTGCTGTTTGGCCAACAAATTTCAAACATGGCGACTAGATAAACGCAAGATTTGCAGGGATTGGTGGCAAGCAATTAAAAGAAGCTAGGGTTAAGAAGTTGGACAGCGGGTTGTAATAAATACTTTTTCAAACGTACACTTCCTTTGTACTTTAATTGCATGTTCTGAAAAAAAGAACACAAAAGAGAATGTGCCCATTGTGGTCAGAAGACATGAACTTGGAGGTATGTAAATAGATAAATGTGATGACTAACTGTGATCATAACCAAATTGTCACCATTAATATTGTGAATAACGGTGAGAACCAGTAGTGCTTTACTAGCTGAAACATTAATCATCATTAATAAATGGGTGACGTTTTGAGAAGCCTTTTGTTAAATACAAGAATTGTATACTTCACATGGCCTTCATCTTAGACTACCAAACATTGTTCTCACTCAGAGGAAGCAAGTTGAGTATCATAACATGTTAAATAACAAAGTAACACAGTGCAAATTACATCTTCATGGTCTAGGTTTCACAAAGAAAAAGTCCAAAATAAGATTTTCTAAAGGAGGATCCCAATCCGAAACATCAACTTCGTGCTCCTCTGATGCTGCCCGGCCTGCTGTGTTCCACCAGCTCCACACTTTTCTTATTTTGGATAACAATACAATTTTTGACACCCTTCTTGTATTTGCACCTGCGCAGAATTATATTACACAAGAGAGGGACTGGAGACACGGATAAGGTACAACTGCAAGTAGGCTCCCACAGATGTTGATCAGGAACACAATGTGAGCAGTCTACAGACCACTTACAATATTGGGACCATTTGTACAATTGGTCAGTGCTGACCTGCTGTCAACTGCATCTATATATACACATGAATTATTCAATCATACTAACCCTCCAATGTAACCGATATTACCTGAACACCTATAGTTCAGAGACCTTTATAATGCCTCCTAATCTAACCACATACTGCATTTGTGTATTGTTTGAATTCTTTTTGGTTCTCCTCATACAGCAGAGTAAACATTTCCCGAAGTATCAAAAAGCACCAATTCATACAATTTGTGTGCAATAATTGTGTAATCGTTCAGAACCAGATAAGCATAGGCTAGACAGAAATCAGAGTGAATTATTGGCACAGACAAAAAAAACTGCAGGATGCTGGAATCCAAGGTAGACAAACAGGAGGCTGGAAGAACACAGCAAGCCAAGTAGCATCCGGAAGAAAGGAGCAGTCAACATTTTGGGTATTACCCTTCTTCAGAACTGGATGTGGGGGTAGGGGGAGTGCAGATAAAGGGGATGGGGGGGACAGGGAGAAAGGGGGTGGAAGCAGAATGGTGGTGATAGGTATGACCTGGTTGGTCGATGGGAGGGATGAATCCCGTTGGAGGCTGGAAGGGAGGGTCAGAAGGTGGGGCTGGAAGGGAAGGGATGAGGCATGGGATGGGTGGCAAGGTTATTTGAAATTGTAGAAATCAAATGTGGAGTCCTCTGGGCTGTACGGTGCCCAGGCGGAAGATAAAAGGTGTTGTTCTTCAAATCTGTATTCCGAGTTGCCGCGACACTGGAGGAGGCAGACGAAGGACATGTTGGAGGGGGAGTGGGATGGGGAGTTGAAATTTGCGGTGACCAGGTGGGTAGGCTGGCCGTTACAGGCCAAGCGGAGATGCTTGGCAAAACGATCACTTAGTCTACGTTTGGTCTTACTGATGTAGAGAAGACCACATTGGGAGCACCGGATGCAATAGACTAGGATGGAAGAGATGCAGGTGAAGCTCTGTCTCACTTGGAAGGACTGTTTAGGGCCTTGAATGGAGGTGGCGTGCAGGCTGGTGTTATATCTTTTATGGTTACAGGGGAAGGTACTGGGCTAGTTGGAGTGGTTGGTGGGGAGCGTGGCACGAACTAAGGAATGGCGAAGGGAATGGTCCTTGTGGAAGGCAGAGATGGGCGGGGAGTCGAAGTCTAATTAGAGTTGGTGAAAGTTGGTTTGAGGATGATACATTGGATACGAAGACTGGTGGGATACAAAGGGAGGACAAGGGGGATCCTATTTTTATTATGTTTGGAAGTGGGGGGGGATGGTGGTTATGAATTGTGGAGCAGGGAATGGAGGAAGCGTGGTGGAGGGCTGTCTGGACAACAGAGGGAGGAAAACAACATTGATTGAACAAGGCGGACATCAGGAATGCTTGGGAGTAGAACGTCTCATCAGAGCAGATGCGACAGAGAAAGAGGAATTGGGAAGACGGGAAGGAGCTTTTGCAGGATACTGGGTGGGAGGAGGTGTAGTCTATGTAGCTATGGGAGTCTGTGGGTTTATCGGAAATGTTGGTACATAAAGCTGTTGCCTGAAATGGAAACAGAGAGGTCAAGAAAGTGGAGGGAGGTGTCAGAGATGGACCAAGTGAACTTGAGGGCAGGGTGGAAGTTGTTAGCCAAGTCGATGAACTGTTCCAGTTCAGCCTGGGTGCAGGATGCAGCACCGATGCAGTCAATTGATGTGACGGCAAAAGAGATGGGAACGGTACCAGTACCAGTGTACATACTGAAGAGGGACTGTTCGACTACTGAGAAGGTGACACAAGTTGAAAGAAACAAGAGTAATTAGCAAAGAATTGTAAGATTGCAAAACCTCTCCATAATTGTTAAGACTATGCTGATGACAGTACATCAAAAGTGTGAATGAATCAGCTGCTTTGTTGGCGGCAGGTACAATGATCAAACTTCAGGATTCCTTTGAACAGACAGAAGTTACCAGAGTCTAAAGTTTGAGCAGCAGCATTCATCTAGACAACAGAGGCCCAGTGATGATCAGCTCTAATAGTACTAGACCGGAAAAGTCTAGACTAGACAGTAGAAAGAACACTGGAAAATTGATCAAACATTATTTCTCTTTCACAAAACCATACTGAATTGGTTTGATTGTCTTTAGCTTTTCCAGATGTCCTGCTACATTTTCCTTGATAACGGACTCTAGCATTTTCCTAACGACAAATGTTTAGTGTAACAGGCCCACAATTTCCCCATGCTCTGTGCCCCCCTCTACTTGAAGAGGGGAAATCAGATTTGCAGTTTTCCATTCTGCCAGAACTCTCCCAGAATCCAGGAATATTCAATCAATGTCTCCATTATTTCTGCTGCCACTTTCTTTATAAGATCTTTCCACCATTAACACCTTACTTACTTGTTACCTTTGGCATATTTTCGGTGTTCTCTGAAAACCAATGAAAAATATTGACTTAAGTTACCTGCCATTTCCCTATTCCCCAGTCGCATTCCCCAAGGGTCCCACACTTAATTTAGCTACCTCCTTTTATATATGCATAAAGCTCTTGCTGTTTGTTTTTATATTTCTTCTCAATTTATTTTCATAATCAATTTTGCTCCTTTCATGAGCTTTAAAAGTCATCCATTGAGAATGTTTTGAGAACCAGTAATCATCTGGCCTACCAGTCATTTTAGCTGCTTTGTATGCCTTTATTTCTGATTGGATACTCTGCTTGGCCACCTTCATTAACCACAGGTGGATCATTCTACTCTTCAAGTCCTTTTTGGCTAGAGTAATGCTTTCCGAGCTTTATGAAATATCTGCTTAAATGCGTGCCACTGCTTATCCACCAACAAACTTTCATCATATCTCTGTGGTAGCTGTTACTGAAGTTCAGGACACTTTGAAACCTAATTGCTCTCCCTCAAACTGAATTTGAAATTCTGTGCTGCGGTTGTTATCCCTTGGAGGACCCTCGTCTATAAGATCACTCGTTAACTGCACCTCATTATGCATTACTAGATCTAAAATAGCCTGTTCTCAGGTAACATAGCAAGAACTGCAGATGCTGGAGTCAGAGATAACACAGCGTGGAGCTGGAGGTACACAGCAGGCCAGACAGCATCAAAGGAATAAGAAAGTTGACGTTCTTCTGATGTTGCCTGGCCTGTGGTGTTCCTCTAGCTCCACACTTTGTTATCTCTGTTCTCAGGTAAGTTGTCCAAAATACTGTTATAAATAGCAATCTCTGACACACTAGAAATTGGTCGTCCATGTTCCCCTTGCCCATCTGATTTATCCACTTATTATGATGAGGATTAAAATTATCCATGACAATTATAGTGCCCTTCTTATATGCCTCCATTATTTGCATTATATACGCTTTCTTACAGTGAGGCAACTCTTCAGGGGTCTGTAGGCAACTCCTATTCTTGATTTCTTTCCCTACTCATTCCTTATTTCCACCCAAACTGATTCCATTTCATGATCTATTATACCTCTATCCCTACTGACCACTGCACTGATGCATTTTTTTTTAAAAACAAGAAAGCTACCACACCTTTAATTCTTCTTTGCCTATTGTTCTAGAACACTGATTGCCCTTGAATATTGAG